AAATTTAATTCTACTATGTTGACTATCTATCAATCCACTTAATCAAATTTTTATTATTAAAATCAACCCGAACTGTGTTACGACTTCTATCATTCATAATGAGTTACATCTTCAGAATCTGAGCGGATATGTTTTGCATTACTTCCATTCTCACGTTTTATTCGTTTCAAATCAAAACCTTAAGTTTAGCTGAAGCATTATCATAAAGTTCCATGCAATCTTTTGAGCAAATTTTTCGTTCATTAACTTATTGACAAAATTTCCACATCGATTTTCTTTTTTTACTGATTCATATTGTTCAATCAATTGAATCGTCAGTCTTTTATCTAAATAATCTAATTTTAATAACCATTATTGTCTATCGCGAGTAAATAATGTTATAGTTTGTTGATTAATAATCATTTTACCCCATCGAACAAATTAATATGCATATAAAGACGAACTTTTTTCATATCATGCGTAGGAATAACTGAATTTTGTTCAATATATAATTTAATACGGTAAAGACTACTTGTATCTTCTTGAATAAATGTTTCAGAGTGATACGTAATATATTTATTAAGGTAATTTATGTATTGAGGGTGGGTGTGAGGCTGAGGGTGAAAGTGTGGATGAGGACGTGGTGAGAGTGAGAGGATGAAGGGAAGAGTCTTATCCATAGTCACACACCCACACACTTAAGATGGACCAAAACTTAAGTAAAGATATAAAAGTAATTTTTTCTATAAGGATTGACAGAGGGGTAATTGGGGTCAAAAAACTCGAATCTGGTGTCATTTTTCTTAAATTTTTTTGAGGTTCACTTTTTTACACAAAGGACCATTTTTTCACAAAAAAGTTTTTTTATAAGAGTTGAGCGAAAGTTTATCAAGAGTGTGAAATTCAGATCTGAGGTCGGTTTCAGGGTTGCCAAATCAAAATTTTAGAAATCAGGAGTTTCAAAAAAAAAAGCAGGAGTTTTCCAGGAGAATTTTTATCTAAAATCAGTAGTGAAAATCAGGAGACTTTTTTTAAAAGTTCAAGAGCCATTAGGTGTTTTTTACTAGATATGAAAATGTCTTTACTTCTCATATCGAAATAATGATGAAAAAATTTCTCATTACTATATTAAAACTAAAATGAATCGTAGTTCTATAATGTTTACTTTAACATTTATTTCATGAATAGCAATTATAATATGAAAAAAAAGAAAATCAAAGTTAACTTCTTGGTTAATACAAATCAAAACATATAATATAAAAAAATATATAATCAATTTTCTACTAAGCAATACGTGGAACTTTTGCAACATGGCTGTATTTATCTGACGATCGAATCTGTTTCAATATATCTGGTTTAGTTAAAAGAAAATCGTAAAACTCTGTGCAAGTAAAATGAGTATTCATTTTAATTTTCAACTCAGCTCCAACTAAATCATGTTTCATTCTGTTTCTACTGTTATTCCAAAGGTAGTTCATGTGGCTAAATACTGTCTCGCAAAAGGCATTCGATCCAGGGATAGCAAATACAAACTCAACCAATTTTTTTAAATTGGGTACACATTCACCGTCGAGTAAAAATGCCCACGCATGATCACTTCTAGTTAAACTATTTGTTTTTTTATGTTTATAAATTTTCGCATCGGCTTCATCATCATCATCATCATCGATATCAGTATTATCTAGATTATCTAGAATAGCATCATAATCATCGCATAGATTTGTTTCATGATTAATTGATATTCCATTATATTTTGATGAACCTTGATTTAATAAAATAAATGATTGCACTTGATTACTAATTCCACCGAACTTTCCTTTCAAATTGATATACTTAGATTTAATATAGTTAAATTCATCATATAAATTATCTTGATCAATTGATTGATTAACAATAAAAGTAGAACATTTTTGAATGCTGCGCCAGTCGATTTTTTCAATATCGACTTCAGCGAAAACAGAAATTGATTGATAAAATGATTTATAGTCATTGTAATATTTCTCAATATAATCAATAATTGAACGAATAAATACTTTAAATGATTTTTTTAAATCATCAACTTGTTTTATTGGAGAATCTTCGAGTAATTGAGCAACTTTACAACCAAAAAACTCATCCTGTAAACGATTCTTTAATTTACGAAGTAAATTTGTGATAATGTCATGTATATTAACTCCAGTTGTATATTCACGTTGTAATACCAAATTTGCATTTTGTACGTCTGGTAAAACGCTTGCCAAAAAGTACAACGTACAGTCACCTATATAGATAAAAAAAATTAATATATACATATGTGTATGTTTTCAAGCCGATCATTACCTTTATGCGATGTAAAGAATTCTAACAATAACTGTGGACATTCTTCAATATCCAGATTCAAAAAATAACTTTTAACAACTGGATGAATTGCAATGAGACGTTCAATAGATTTTAAAAGACTCAACCATCTTATTTTAATATGTTTAAGTATTACCTAAATGGAATATATATATATGTATATATTGATACAATATCCAAAATACGAATATGATTCTTTACTTTTTGCTCTTGTTCAATAAAATCAAAATAGTTCGCTAACTGTTGAACACGAACGGATGATCTGCAAAAATGAGAATATATTTTTAGTATTGTTGTTTCAATGTCAAATAACAAATGTTGGTTTCCATGTTTTACAGAATTATGAAGAACGTGCGAATAACAAGTTCCTAGATCGAAAGAGTAATTATAGAGCAAATAAATTATACAAATTTTAATATTAGAATATGCTTTACCTTTTATTAAACCAGGTGAGAGCTTTTCGAATAAAGCAAATACACTGTGGTGATTGCCGACATTTACGTTGGTGTTATCAGATCCAATTGAAACTAATTGATTAAGTTTTAATTCATTTGCTTCTAATACATATTTTATATTAGCAAATAATGCATCAGCTGATTCATGTTGCTGCTCAATAAAGTCTAAAGAATAATGCTCACACTCACAAGATTTTTGTTTAGAATCTAACATGCGCTTCACAGCAGTTTTATACTCAATTATCTCTAAATTACTTCCTACTGCTTTACCTAGAAATTCTAAATTATCGCATGTCTAATCATCAATTTATTAAATTCTAGAAGATAATTAGAAACATATCTATTTTTATACAATACATGGTATAGATTAGATAAAAATCAGAAGAAATAAAATGCTATTCATTTAGAAACTTTTGTTCAATTGGCTTTCTTTCAGAGAATGAAAAAATCAGTTCATACTTTCTAGTTTTAAGAATAAATTACTTATGATTATTTTTTAGAGATTGACAATTTTGTCAAATCTTTTTTTATTTTATTTTAACATTCATTTACATAAAGTGAGACAAGAAAAATAAATGTATTTGCACAATGTTTCTATATAATATATATATTTTGAATTTATTTATATAATTTTTCTTGATATTTGTCATATGCTCGAAGTATACTTTCATAATGTTCAAGAACATATTGATATTGAGTATCTAAATATTTTTTTCGTTTTTCTGGATCTGTTGCTAATGCTTCAAGTGCTGGATCAGCTAATTGAAGTCGACGACGTTTATCAAACTATTTCAAAATAAAATACATAGATAATAAATTTTTCCTAAATCAATTTACTTGTAATGGTTCAAATAGACGTTGTTTAACGATTAAACGAAAACGTTTCATTTGTTGTTCATCATTAGGATTGATTGATTGAAGAAAACACATTTCATGTACACGACGAGTTTCTTGCTAAATAAAACAAAAAATTCAATTATGTAATGAATCAAACTAAAAATCAAATCTTACTTTAGTTAATTTACATATCTCACGTGCTTTATCAATCATTTCCTTTGTTAATCGATCAGTTTTAAGTATTGATTCTTTTGAAAATAAATCAGGTAAATATTTAAGACATAATTCAAGTGAAACAAGATCACGTAATGCAATAAATTCATCTGATGGATCTTCAGCTAAATAATAATAAGAAAAAATTATTATTATTATTATTCAATTTGTTTTCATATTAAAACTAATAAATATTTATCGATTCAAACATTCACCAATAAAGTTGATAAACACTTAAGAAATCTCTACTTAATATAAAAGCATTCATAACGTATTTACATATCTAACAGAAAAAAAATGACTCAAAGCGATAGTATTGAAACAAACAGATATAGAAAAAAAATTTATTATTATGAAATACCTGTAATATCTTGAACACGAGTATCTTTTCGAAAATCATTATAAATTGCTGTTACAAGACGACGTCCATGACCTTTTCTTTGATATGGTGGTAGAATCAATACTTGACTAAAACATAAGAAATTCTTTAAAGAGAAATAAAATCAAAATAATTTATTAACCTAATTCTTGGTCGTTTTTTATCAGGATATGCATAATAAAGATAAACTGTAATAAATCCAATAGGTGCATAACATGTTTGACCATTATTATTTTGATATTTTTGATAAAGAAGATAAATAATCCAATTCGGATCATCTTTATCAATGGCTGATGCAGCATCAATAAAAAATACAAGAAATGTTTCAAGACGATTATACCATTCAACAAATTTTTGATCATCACAGAAATGTTGATTAACACGATGAATTGCATATGATGTAGATTTTTCACTTTTTAATTCATATGATAAGATTTGTTCACCGAATGTTGAATATTCATGTTCAGTTTTTAATTTTGATAAAAACAAATCTAAATTTGTTGTTGTTGTCTTTGGTATCCATTCATTTAATGTTTCAATAATATCATCAGCCTAATATATATATGTACAAATTTTGTTTTTTCTTATTTAAAAACTATTTTTTACCTTAAATTGTTGATATTTTTTTGGATTTATTTTTTCATCATAGTCAATATTTAAGTAAAAATTGAGTGATGATGATAAACAATAAATATTTATATTTAAATTTTTATATCCAAAGATTCGTTCACTAAAAAATATTTTATGTTATTTACAATAAAAATATAAAAAAATTCAATTTACTTCTCTCCAAAAATTTGATGTGTAAATTCTGGTGAAAATTCAATTTCATCATTCTCTAAATCCTTTTCCGAACGAACTAGAACAAAAAAAATATAATTTCACATAATCAATTTTATACAAATAAAAAGACTAACTTAATTTAAATGAAATAACTTCATTAGCTGAACAATCATATACTCGTAATGGAGCTGGAAGAAGAAGTCCTATAGAAAGAAAAAATTATTCATTTTTTTTTATAAAAAAACTCTTTTTTCTTTGTTTAATTTATATATCTACCTTGTTCGTTTAGATCCATTCTATTATTTTTCTGAATGAAAAAGATAAAGAACGAAAAAAAAGACAAAATGAAGTGTATATTACATAAAAAAGAATCTTAACACATTAATGCATTATATCAGATGCATACGATTGGTGTTATTTTTTTTTCTACCCGATATATTCTTATTTGTTCATTAATATTCAGTTAATCTTATTTTCAATAAAAAATAAATAAACATGTCCGATGTAGAGAATCTTTGTTCAACAATTGTTAATCGTCCAGATAATAATTCTATAGGTCGTTTAATATATTTATTGAATACAAATGAAAATATTGATCAAGAAAAAATACTTAGTCAATGTGGTAAATATTTAAGTGGAATTAATTTAGATGAATTTTTTGAAATAATTTATAAGAAAAAACAAATAAATTTAATTGAAAATTATCTTCAAACAGTTGAAGATATTAGTGAAAAACAATTAATTCAAACATTAAATATAACATTTGATTATTTATCATTAATATTAACAAAACCTTATGATTATTGGTCATTAACACATGTTATGAAATTATATTTAAATTCATCTATATCTGTTGAACTTGGTGAACAACTTGTTTCATTGTTAATTCATTTTCAACAACCAATATCAACAATTATAGATTGGCTCTGTGCATTAATTGATGCACATTTTTCATCATTTGTTCTTGCTAAATGGAATAAAATTCCATTAATAGAACAATTTGTTCAAGATCGTTTAACTACATTTGATTTACTTCAAGGTCTTAATACAATTAAAAAAACAACATTATCAGCAACAACAGCAACAACAACAACAAACAAAAAATCTTCAGACAATCTCTATACTCTTCAAAGGATTCATTTTAAATAAATGAAAAAGAATGTCCTTTTTGTTTTGTTTTGTTTACTTTCCATGACAACATTCATTTTTCATTTTCATTAATGAGAAAAAATTGAAAAGAAAAAGTCCAACTCCGCTGCAGGTGTCTTAGGGATAGACATCAAATCTTATTACAAAACCAATTTACTTCTTTCTTTTTTTTTTTCCTTTCCTCTCTGCCATAAAGATACCATTCATTTGCTTTTTCTTTCTATTCTGTCGTATGTGTTTATGACTTATTATAGATGGTATAGAGTTTGTCGTTCTAGTCAATGGTTGGTGCAATGGGAACTCGTCGGCTGTCGACAAATGTTGTTCCCCGTGAAAAATGGTCTTTAAAAAATTTATTTTATCCACAATTTGATTCATCTAACGTAGAAAAAAAATATATATTAAGTTATTTAAAAAGAATTTATCCATCAAGTCACCGTTTACTGGTCACCATATTAATTAGTCATGCATTAATTAATTCACTTGAAATATTCTTATTTGATTCATCACCAAAACAATCGAAAATTTTTCATTTATCATTATTAGCTATTAGTATTTGTTTAAATATTTTATCATTAATTATAATAAATCGTCTACGAATTCATATTTTATCTAATATTATATCATTAATATGTATTTGTCCATTAGCTATTTTAAGTTGTTTATATCCATTAGAATGCCATATATATTTGTTAATTATATTAATATATACATTAGCAAATTTTTCATTACTTTTATCAATATTATTATCAATTTTAATAACAATAATTATAACATTTTTAACATTAAATTCAAAAATGCGTTTAATATTATTATTAATATCAAATATTATTGGAATTTATTCGAATCGTCTTTTGGATATAACAATGCGTTCGGCATACAATCAATTATGTAAAAGTAAGTTTATTTTCTAATTAGTAAAAAACAAAAGAAGATTTTCTTTTAATTTCAAAATAGATGCAAATGTTCGTGGTTCATTATTAAGCGAACATACATTAATATCAAAAATGATTGATTCACTCATGCCACATAAATATGCGAGAGTTATAATGGAAGATTTTGATGTATTTCGTGAACGTGTACAAAATATTAACGTAGCACATCAAGGTGAAGATGAGAAAAAAATGGCTACTTTTCGTCCATTACATATTGAAAGAATGGAAAATGTTTCAATATTATTTGCTGATATTGTTGGTTTTACACATATGTCATCAAATAAAACTGCCGCACAATTAGTTGTATTATTATCTGATTTATATGGACGATTTGATGATTTATGCGTTCAAATGTCGTGCGAAAAAATAGCAACATTAGGTGATTGTTATTATTGTGTTAGTGGTTGTCCAGAACCACGAGAAGATCATGGTAAATCATGTGTTTTAATGGGTTTAGCAATGATAAATGCCATTGAAGAATTTGATGAAGATAATAATGAACAAGTTGATATGAGAGTTGGTGTTCATTCAGGTTCAGTTAATTGTGGAATTGTTGGAACAAAAAAATTTAAATTCGATATTTTCTCAAATGATGTTACGTTAGCTAATAAAATGGAATCAAGTGGAAAACCGGGTAAATTATATTAATAAATATCAAAAAAAAAAAGAAAAAGATATTTTTATCTATTTATTTATTAAAGGTGGTTTTTTTATACTAGCTTTAATTTAGAATAAGCTTATTGCTTGCTGAGCTAGTTTCATTTTTTTTTATTTTGGAATTAAATTTATAATGTCTAAAATATTTTTGTTGATTTTATTTAGGTTATGTTCATATAACTGAAGCAACTCATGCATTATTAAAAAAAGATGAATTTCAATTTGAAGAAGGTGAACTATATAAATTACCAGGCCATGGTTAGTATCAATATAAAAATTTATTTTTGTAAATATAAAATTTTTTTTCTTAAATTCAGCTTCAATAAAAACATATTTTATTGGAAAAAGACAATTAAGTCATCGAATAACACAAAAACCACCACATATGACATTAGCAACTGCTACAGCTGTTGCTGTTGCTGCAGGTGTACCACTTTCTGTACCTTTAAATGATCCAAATAATATACCGGATACATCCGATTCAGCAGTAAGATTATTTGAAAAAAAAAACAATTACATATATATTTAAATTAAAGGTAGTAACAAGTCCATTATTAGAAGAAGTCGTACAAGCACGACGTGCAACAATATGTGAAGAAGAAATGCCAAAAGATTTAGCAGGAGTTATTGAAAATATTGAAACTATAAATGAACAAACATTTGAAAATGAAGAAAAAGAATTAGCAGTATCATTTAATATCTTAACATTATCATATAAAGAAAAACGTTTAGAAGAAAGTTTTTCTGCTCATGTTGGTCCACATTCATTATTAATTGTTGAAGTTATATTATCAATTGTATCTTTATTACTTATTTATTTCTATTTTTTTAAACGTAAAATTATCTTAACATCAATTATTTTGGCAGTATTACTTGCAGTAAAATTAATTTTAACATTAGTTATAATATTTTTTGCTCGTAAATTATTACGTTGGTGGATAATAAGACATTTAATTGGTTCATTTTATCTTGTATCACCATTAATTATTATTTTAATTCAAATACCTGATTCAATACTTTTAACTACACCAGCTTTTTTTCTTTTTATTTCAACTTATCTTACTTTAGGTGCATCTGTATCTCATTTGATCAAATTACTTATTGCCGTTTTAGCAATTTTAATTTATCTTCCGTTGATGATATGTACACAAGATTTATCAAGTTTGTTTCTGATTTTTTCAAAATAAAAAGATAAATAAGAATTTTTATTTTTAGCACAAATCATTGTGGATATAAGTGTTTGTATATTAATATCATTAATAGTTTTATATGGTATAGCTCGTCAATTAGAAGTTGCACGTCGTTTTCAATTTCATGTTGTTCATAAATCATCAGAACAACGAGTAGAAATTGAAAAAGAACGAGAACGTGCTGATTGGCTTTTAAGAAATATTTTACCAGAACATGTTATTGAACCATTACGTCAACATGGTGGTTCATATTCTCGTAATCATCCATGTGTTGGTGTTCTTTTTGCAACATTAGTTAATTTTCATGTTATGTATGAAGAACAATATGAAGGTGGAAAATTTTATGCAAGAATTTTAAATGAATTCTATGGAGATATCGAAGAATTATTTCTTGATCCAAGATTTTCAAAAATTGAAAAAATTAAAACTATTGGAGCAACATTTATGGCTGCATCAGGTTTGCAAACAGATGTCAATGATCAAAATCCATTAGGTAAAATAATACACTTTCAATTTGCCTGAAAGAATATTTATTATTTTAAATAAACTATTTTAGAATCTGTTTATTCTCTAATGGAATTTGCATTAGCATTTCAAGCCACAACGAAACGATTTAATGAAGCACTTTTAAATTTTGCATTTGAACTTCGTATTGGTTTTAATTTTGGACCAGTAACAGCTGGTGTTATTGGTACAACAAAATTATTTTATGATATATGGGGTGATACAGTTAATGTTGCTTCACGAATGGATTCAACTGGTGAAAAAGGAAAAATTCAAGTTCCTGAGGAAGTAGCAGTAGCTTTAAAAGACAAATATAATTTTGAATTACGAGGAGAAATTGAAGTTAAAGGAAAAAGTCGGATGACAACATATTTTCTTAAACATTAAAAAAAACTTTGAACAGTGATTTATATATCTGTAGAATAGAACTTTTTTTTTTCTTTTTTTTTCTTTTTTTTTCTTTTCTTTTCTTTTCTTTCTTTTCTTTTTTGTCATTTTAAAACAGAAGACAATTATATTGAATTATTTCATCAATAAATTTTATCGCAAAAAAAAAAAGGTTTATGACTTTTATATTTTGTTTTTGCACAAAAATTTATGATTGAATAATGTATATGTGCATTAGGAAAGGACAAAAATCTTGACATCTATTCATTTTGCGAACTAATGACAAGAGAGAAATGGCTATCTATTATATATTAAAGAACAGTAAGATTTTTTTCTTTTAGCCGGATGTCAATCATCATAGATAAGAGAATATATGCCGTCAATCAACATTCATTGTTATTCTAGTAGAAAAAAAACGAGAATAGTATACATTTTATCAAATTAAATATTCGAAAATTAATGAAAAGATTAGTTTTCATGACAAAACAATATGACTTGTATTTAATATATTCTGTTTTTATAAATAGAATAAAAGACAAATGAGCTTAGTTATTTTTCTTTCTTTTTCTCGAGACATGACTGGTCTTTTTAATTATTGAAATTAATATTGACAGATATTAATGTTCAATAATGATTAAATATAATATAAGTCGTTATTCGAATACTATGTAGATTTTGATCTAATTCACTTTATTATATTCTACGATACAATTTGTTCGTTAGAAATTAGATAACGACATTCTTATGTGATTTTCTACGAAAATAATACATGACAGAAATTTTAGAATCATAATTTGATTGTTGGCTTTTAGTTTCTATTTATGATGATGAGAATATACAATGACATAGTCTATTAATTTCAATTTTTCTTAATAGAGTCACGACTTTCTGTCATCAGAAGGTTTCTTATCAAGAAGATAAATAAATTGAGATATGTGGAGGTCTGAAGGATACAAGATTTTTATAATCTATTTGGTCGTGCAGCTCTTTTATAGTCACAAGCAAATTTAGTTATCATTTTTTAAGTATTTCAACGGAGAGTAATAAGATTAGTATAGTTTATATTGAAAAATGATTGAATTAGATTCGAAATCTTCTATGCAAATGCAGGTTGATAGATTTCAATCATAATAATCTAGTCGTGCCTTATTTTGTTCCGAAAGGCAGTTAACACATGAACTATATAAATAGAAAAATTATTTATTCGCAAAAGTCGATCTACATACATTTGTGGAATGTACAAAGTTTTACTAAAAGTATTCTATTGCATAGATCTAGGCAATATTTTTCTACTTTCTTATTTTTTGCCGAATCAATAAATGCGCATAAATACAATGTTCATTCATCGGAGAGATATTCTCTAATAAATTTTCTTTTTGATTATTACCATGTCAACGTATGAAGAAAAAGGAAATAAATATTCATCATTTTTTTCTTTTCTTTCTTCTCGTTTTCCTTGACAAAAAAATGACTTGCATTATCTACTTTAAACACTTACTTTTATTTATGGAAAGAAAATATTCATATTTTCGAATATTTTGTTCTCAGGATTAAAGATAGTATAGATAATAGCTTTTTATTTAGATAATGAAATGTATAGTATCTTTAATTTCAAGAATAAAGAATTTCGTTGCATAGATTAAACTTTCTGTATATTGATTCTTCATTTTGAACTCCAATGTTGAGAACCAACCTCTAAGTTTAATCAATTTACTTTAAATAACACCCATCAATCAAATCTCATCTTTGACTAACCTATTTATATTTGATAGCATGTGTTCTTCAAAACTATACAGTAATGAAAGTGAACAAGTACTTATAAAAGGAAACGATGATTGACTAGAACGATGATTTACTATAATATCACTTGACAAGTATTCCTATGGTATTTGCGTGTTTAATCGTACTTAAATGAAAGAAATAGACAATTAAATCTTTCATAAGCTATTTTCCATCGTATGTCTCAAATTTTATAATCCTGACGTCATTTATTATCGGTATGGAAAATAAATAGACTTTAACTGAATCATTAAAAGTTTGCTTACTATGGTAAAGACGAGAGATGATTTATTATAAAGAAATCAGCCCTATATATACTTCACATGGACAAAGGTGACGCTAGGGAAACAGAAGATGACGAAATGTTTCTTAAATATTAATCATTGCTAATAATATATCGGAATTCCACTTTTTGTGTGAATAAAATTATTTGTTTGAATCCATGTCTAATATTTTTTGCAATATCAGTTCTATATTAAATACAAATAAAACAAGTGGCCTTCTAAAGTATCATGATGAAAGGAATATTTTAAGATCGGCGAGCGATGATATATTTATTTAAATAAAATAACACTTTGAACAATATTTTACATACTTTTCGTATAAAAATTTTCTTTCTTGATTGTTTTAAATTAGAAGATAATTATTACATCAATAAATTTTATCAAAAGAAAAAAGAAACGACTCTGACTTTTATTTTGTTTTTGCACAAAAATTTATGATCGAGTAATGTTTGTGTATGTACATTAAGAAAAAAATCTTGACATCTATTCATGTTGAGAACTAATGACAAGAGAGAAATGCCTATCGATTATATTAGAAAATGGTGCGATTTTCTTTTAGCCGGATGTCAATCATCGTAGATGAGAGAATATATGCCGTCAATCAACACTCATTGTTATGCAAGTAGAGAAAAAAACAAAATATTAGAAAACTAATGAAAAGATTAATTTTCTTAAGAAATAAAGATTTTTATATTTTTTTTCGAAATCAATTATTTAATAAACTAAATTTGATCAAAAATATTCTATGCTTTCTAATACATATTACGAATATTTGCAAAACAAGAATTATTAATAATTAGAAATATATTATAGAGGTTCTAACTTATTTGAATAGTACTAAAAGTTCATACGTTTATTCTTGTTTATTTTATTAGTGGATTGATATTTAAAAGTTATAAAATAATAAAAACAATGTTTTAGCTGTCCAATATATCCGAACTAAGAATCAATTGCATAGAAGATTTCGTTATTGTAAAAACATTTGTATCTGGTTGTAATCGTATACTAGGAACAGTCGCTCGTGTATGGTATTTATGGAGTAATGTTGTTGATATTCGCTATAAAGCTTGTCTTGGTCGAAATTATCAGATAATTTCAACGGTGATATCAACTTCAAGTGATCAGAATTCGTTTATAACATCGAAATAGGTTAAGTCATTTAATTCATATTGATATCGAAAAACAAGACAAGATTTTATTAATTATATTCAAAGCATGGCTCAATTTCATTAATTCAAAATAATACTAATTTATCGTATTGGAATAAAAACGTACATAGATATTCTAATGAATATTACTGAGTTGCATAACGATTTATTGATCAAAATATAAATCTAACGACATCAGAATCTTGCAAGAATATCTGAAACGACTACTCGCAGTTTTACCAATCGTTTTCGCTAGATAGTTTCTGCCACTAATCATAATATAGAATATGAAATCATATTCGATTACTAATATTTATTGTCGTTTTTATCACAATCGGATAAATGTCTTAATGTTTATAATGATCCTAAGAGTGTGAATACAGATGGCCCTCTCTCTTTTATCCATCATCTTCGACCACACCCACACCTACACCCTGAAGATCGCGCATGAAAAATAATTTATATGTATTATTATTTCATAATTGTATATAAATAATAGACAAACAATTCAATCTATTAACTACTTAATAGCATGATTAGATTTTATTTAGAGAAACTAATAAATAAATATGAATATATTTCTAAAGGGAGAGAAAGGATAAAAAAAAAAAGAGTTCATCTATGGATCGTTGAAATATTTTGTTTTTGGTCTAATTGAAAATGTCAACAATTTTTTTCCAATTTCCACCATCTTTTTTCCAGACAACAACATAATTTCCACCATCAGTATTAATTTTGTATTGACTATAAATAGAAAATATATATTTTGTATAAAAAAAAATAGACAAATAACAAACCTTATTTCAACAAGATAATCCGAACCACATTGAATAACTTGTCCAGTATGTAACTCAACTTTAGCATTTCCAGCTGCTCGTGCACTTGTATAATATTTTTCAATTTGACTTGTACCTTCATAAATTTGTTTATCTGTAGCAAAAAGTCGAGCATCATTAGCATAGGTATTAACTGCATCTTTGACTTGACCATTGTTATAAGCTTGTTCAAATTCTCGATTAATTTTATCAACAGTATCGAACGACATCGTTAATTATTCGAAAGATTTCTTACGTGTTTTATTTTTATATAGATATCTAAAAGAAATGAATGATTGTTTGCTAATATGCTTTCCCCTTTTATACTAAATCTCTAAGTTATTTTTCTTCTTTTTTTGTGTCTCTCTCTCCCTCTCCCTCTCTGATTTTGTTTGTTAAGAATGTATGTTCCGATTATGAACAAAAAAAGAAATGTATGACATTCATTCATTCATTTCAAAGTCAAATGACGCGAGAAATCCTACTGGTAATGTTCGAGAAAATAAGTTTTCTTCTACTTAGTCGGATGTCAATCACTACTGAACAAAAAAGGGCATATGCCTTCAATCAACATCCGTTCTTCTGTTTCAATACAGGAAAAAAAGATTTTTCTTCTTCTCTTTGTCTTTGACAATCTAATCTAATATTCAAAGATCAATCAGAGATTAGCTTTCATTCATGTTAAAACCATATAACATTATTTTCAATTATTTTTCATTTTAATGGAAAAAATATATATCTAGTTTTCAATCATTAGAACTATTATTCCGAAAAACATATTTTCTCGTTTAATCTTCGATTATTAGATTAAAATTTTTCTTCCTATTGTTAATTAAATATGCAGACGATGACTTATTGAACATTTATTATGTACTCAATGTAGTTTGAAAGCATAAAGGTTAATAAAAGAAGTAGTTTTGCTTTTAACAGAATCAATAGAAGAAAGAAACACTTGATTCGCAATCATTCTATTGACATATACTTTTCGGAGAGAGAAGCATTTATTCAATCAATGAATTATTTACAAAAAAAATAAAAGTTAGTTTCCTTTTTCCATTTAGAAAGAATGAACAAAATAATACTTCAAATTCAGTTGTCACATATAAATAACTTTTGCGTAGGAAGAAGTCTTTTCATATTTGACAACGATGACAGATAAAATTTTGGATTTATCTATATTAAATCTATAAATAAATTTTCTACTTGAATGAATATATTCCAATGAGTTCATATGTAAATATACATATTGATAATTAAAATAGTTGCTAAAAATAGGATTTAATGCAGAAGTAATTCTAATGAACAATGGTAATTATGTAAAGCCGTTTTATCAAAAAAACAATTGAATTCCTCTATTACGGCTCGAGCAAACAAGCTAATTTTTGCTTTGGCAATGAGAGAGGTATTTTCCAGGTTTGTACTCATAAAGACATACCTAGAGAAATCTTTTCTTATTTGTTACTACTGATCTTAATGAATAAATTTCACAGATTAGGAGAACAACAATATACTTAAAAAAGGCTTTGTCTAAGCATGTCTCTTTCATTGATAAAAAAATTAGCTCGAGCCGTAATAGAGAAAGTCAATTTTTTTTCTAGCAGATCGATTTTTGAGCCATGCTGTATTTATATCAAGAATCAAAAACATATGCGACCATAGTATACACTAATTAATTGATTATATATAGTTCTGGAGATCGAAATAAATATAAAAGTGTACAAAACCATTGATATTTTGTTTTCATTTATGCCACACTGATTTGCATGCTTTTCATTATATTGAAAATAATAAGAAAATAAAAAAAAAAAGCAACGACGCATGACTAGCATGTCATAGTATCATATTTAGTAATGAGAAAAGGACGAAAAATAAAATATATTTTATTTTTAATATTATTCTTATCTATAAATCTATTATTTATGAGTATATTGAACACAATTCATCGACACCCAACATCTAATTATAACATTAAACAAAGCCTAATAAATTCAAGTATATATAATCGTTCAAATCATGAAAAAACTCAAATCAAATCTATATATTACCGTTTATCAACAGATAAACGTTATCATTATGAATTCCGTTATGAATTAAACACATCTCATAAACATCGTCTTATGCTTATATTCGGTGGTGCTAAACGTGGATGTGATGATATGTGGAATTTATCTGTTGGTAAACGTATTCTATTAGCTCTTCATAGTTCTAATTATTCCTATTTGGTGATATGTTCCAAACGAAAAACTTATGATATCAACCTACCCATTAGTAATAATAGTGATGCTAAATATATCTATCGATCATTACAAATATGGATGAATACAATTTATTATCCAAAATTTCAACGTTATCCACTTTTATATATACATGCAACTAGTCGTGGATCACGATTGGCTGGTTTACTTTGTAGAATTTTACCTATTCAAGCACAAATTTTATATATTCATCCAGGACATACCGAAGCTATGCTTATTCCTTCAATGTATGATTATGATTTACAAACACGTTTACAACTTGATCCAACATTTGCAAATTGGTTCTATTTTGATTTTTGTTATAATATGAAAAGTAAAAAACAAAGCCTTTGTCCATTTGAAAATAATTATCATTATTTTTATCCAATTCCACCTACATTTTTAACTTTTTTAAAAAATGATCCATTTCAACAACAAGAAACTTATAAACAATTTATTAGAAATATTCGCAATAAAGCTATTGAACTTGGTGGAATATTTCTAACAAATATCGAAACAATACAATTGGATATTTTATCTCCTGCAAAATTAACTAGTTCTTACATGCAAAAAAAATTTCATCCATGGCACTCAAAATCGTATGCATCTCAATTATTTTTCGAACATTTTACTAATCAAACACAATCTAATACTACTAAATCAAAACGAAACACATGCTGGTGTTCAGATATAGATTTTACATATTATGAAATAAAACCATCTATTACTAATACATGGTCAGAAAAACGATACAATGAATATAATAATTATGTAAGAGATATTCGAGTATTTGGAGATGCATTTTGTGAAGAAGTTTGTGGTGATTTATTAACAACTCATGCAATGGCATCTCGAAATCTTAAGAAAATTCTCAATTGGATAGATATTATAGATCATCTTCGACATAAATTTTATATTGATGATTATTTAAAACGACCATTAAAAATTTGGATGTATGATAAAAAAATCTTACTTCATAATTTAACATATTTTTCTTCACAAGAAATAAATTGGATGAATATATCAAAAGAATATCAAATGTATTCACCTGAATATTATCTTCAAGATTATTTTCAATATTTAAATCATTCAAAAAAAATGAATCGCCATTCTATTCAATGGACTATGAATCCACTTCTTGCTGATTATTTTATTATTCCAAGTGATTTAATGTTTTTCTATTTTAATCATCGACCATCAACTTTGAATGATTTACAATTTAAAGAATTACTTGAAAAATTAAATAAATATTATTTCGAAATTTTATTAACGAATGTTCAAACTATGTTTTCATATTGGACATTAGCTTCTCAAGCAGATTATAGAGGTGCGAATCATATTATTGCTATTCCAGGTGGTAGAAATATGGGAATTTTATATACTGAAACACAAAATATATTAAAAAATGTTATTCAATTAGCATTTACTGGTATTCGAAATGATCTATTACCCTTCAATGCTCCTCCTCAATATGTATATAGAAATATATCGATTACATATAGACATCAGTATGATGTGATTATACCACAATATACACCATTGAAATGGAATAGAAGTCGATTTGATAATTTAGATATATTAATAAAGAAAAAAAAACGTTTATTTTATTTTGCTGGTGCTTTATATCATTCAACATCGCCTTTATCTGCACGTTCGTTATTATCTTATTTATGGAAGGAGATAAAAGAAAAACAAAAGTTTAATTTAACGACTCAAATTCAAGGACGACAATTTGAGACTATTATAATTATTGATTGTCATATAGAAACTCATGAATATATTAAATCAATTCAATCAAGTATATTTTCTCTCTGTCCTGAAGGTTTTCTACCATGGTCTCCTCGTCTCTATGAATCTATTCAATTAGGAGCAATTCCTATTCTTTTAGTTGATAATATTGTTCTTCCATTTGAACGATTTATTGATTGGCATTCATTTAGTATTAAAATTAATGTTAGTAATATTAGAAATATAACTTCTTTTCTTTATCGAATTGATAAATTTGAAAAATATATTAAACATAAGTTAGAAAATGCTTTATCGTATTTACATGCATTTCAATGGCCAGATTCAACTGATAAACATTTATTTCAATTGGAAGAAGATTTGAATGACCGTGTTGAGAATGTTTTTCATTATATATCATTAGAATTACGATGTCGTCGATTAGAACAATTGTATGGATTTACAGTCGAAAGATTGAATATAAAATCAATAGAAGCACAACGATTAGCATGTACAAATCATCCAGATATTTGTCCATGTCATAATGAACAACGATCTTTAGCATTTCAAGAATATATTTAATAAGAAATTTTTGAGAAGATAAATAGTAATATATTTAATTTATTCTAATGATATACTAGTTTGAATTAAACACGCATTATAGTTTATGTAATTCAGTGTATATTTACCTGTTTAAAGATACATGTATTTTTCTACACCAAGGGTGTTGGTATGAATGTGGGTTAGAATGTGGATATCTATCTTTTCTGAACCCACACCCACCCTCAAGATGTATGCAAACATTCGATTTTGAAATCGAGTATATTCGAGGAATAAACAAATGACTATTTGCATGTATTCCTATGCAATTCAATAAGAATATTACTTATTACTTTTATTGCTCTTTATAATAAAGAATAGTTATAAATAAAAAACTTTTTATATTGACCGGATGGAGAGAAATATTTGTTTTTTATGTGTTGTATTCTTATTTTTGGAAATAAAGAATTGATTTATCTTGATTATTTTTAATAGAAAAAATTTATCTACATTTATTTTACAGAGTAATATTCTTAATTAAAAAACAATTTCATTTATTTCCAAACAATTAAATCTACTCGTATTAACTTCTGATTTTTTTTCATTCACTGATTCGTAATCTTTTTTGTTTTCAATAAATCCCATTCATCCACATCAGAGAGCTGCGGGTCCACGGTTTCTTAGATCTGGATCCGTACCCGAGAAAATGTTTTTGGTTAGACCCGGATCCGGAGCTCCCTAGTTTACATCTATTCGAATAGTTATGAATCAGTTTTTTTCTCTTTTACGAAATCTTTAAAAAGATCAGTATACATGTCGATTATGTTATTTTCATAATTTTTTGTCGTTTGCTGTACTCGTGTAAAACGGTAAACTCCACTTTCGCCGAAATTTTTTTCGCTGATGAAGAATTTCGCTGAATGAACTTCTTACCGATAGCACATACAAACTGCATATAATCGATTTTATAGGTAACAATTATATATTGAGTAATGAATCCATCATAGCAAGTCAATTGATCTTGAGGGTGGGTGTGGATGTTGATGAAGGCGTGGGTGTGGGTGAGGGTGTGGGTATGGGTGTGGGTGTGGGTATGGGTGTGGATGTTGGTGAGGGCGTGGGTATGGGTGTGGATGTTGGTGAGGGCGTGGGTGTGGGTATGGGCGTGGGTGTGGATGGATGTCAGAGTAAGGTTAATGTAATTCTCATACCCACTCTCATCTCAGTTAGTGACTATGTCAGCTGGTAATCATCTCAGTTGGTAGCCATGTCAGTTAACACCCACCTAAAATGGCACCGAAATGACATGATAGCCATCCGACTCGGAAGTCGTCCTACTTGGAGATCAACTGATTTGGTGAAATTGAATAATTACCCAAAACATAATCGTTTCCTATAGCATTGATTAGGTAAATTTCATTTTCGGCGAAGGTAAACTGAATTATGTAAAACATCGAAAGTTGATTATTTTGATATATCTGGATAGATTACTGACCATCCTGTCGAATCGTATAACTTACATTTTGTTTTCTTTGGTTCTAATCTAAGAAAAATTGATAAATCTCACGAAGCAGTCGAGGAATGTGGCTGTGTGCCGATTCATGAACAAGTAAAATCTCACCCACACCCTAAAAAAATATCCTTGCGCAGTTGATTTTCAGTTGCAGATTCGTTCACAGCTAATCTTTACGATTTCGAGTTACTTTTATTTACTGACGAACGCAACATAGTTATGGCAGCCACTTTCAGAAGGTAAATATGTTGATGCTTTGTTTCTTCTGCATTATTGCAAAATATTTACAATAGAACAAAAAAAAAAGACATTTTCTCCATTGGAGAAAGTAAATAAAATGTGTCTCTGATTTTTTTTTTGCTTTGGCTTTTTAAGGTTTCTCTGTTGAATTTACATTTGGTATATATATATATTATTGTATGAGTAGAAATAATTTCATTTCAACCGCTTTAATTCTCCGAGAGTATAGTTAAAGTAGCAGCTTTTCTTTGTTGAAAAACTGAGATCTCTGCTATAGTAATCCTTGGAAGATGTATAATTACAGTCGTGAAAATGTATCTTAGCTATTTTTTTCTTTTATAACGAATACTAGGAGCCATATACATATGTAGAGAATATTTCGAACTTAATTTATTTTGAATTCATAGCATATCTGAGTAATTTTACTTTTCGTCTACTACTGTAACAGATTGCATTAACGTTTTGTGTATATCAACTTCTTAGATGGAGACTAAATCACAAAATTCCTTATTGAACCGCATACAAGTCACTTCTGGAGTAAATGTGGAGGATTTGGAATGCATTATTTGCACTAATCTTCTTTGGAAACCTATCGCTTGTAATAATTGTGATGGCTTATATTGTTCAGAGTGTATCAAGAGTTGGCTTGTCCAAAGTCCAGGAAATTGTCCACAGTGTCAAAATTATGCTGAACGAAGATGTTCTCCATTTGTAATAAAACAACTGGCCAAACTGCAATTTGCATGTATAAACCAACCAAATGGATGTCCAGAGGTGAGAGTTTAGCAAAGAAATAGAAATATAATCACTATTTATTTGTATTCTATTTAGATAATTGGATATGAAGCACTTGATAAACATGAAATAGAATGTGGTTACAAACTTCAACAGTGCTCTGGTTGTCATTCGCCATTATTGAAAAAAGAGTTAGCAAAACATCAGAATAATTGTGGATCGATTAGATTGACCTGTTCGGAATGTAATGTTTCGTACTTCAGACGTGACGCTTCGTCACATACTGAAAATACATGTTTACGTGAGCAACTTCGACAATTTCGACAAGATTCTGCTACCTATAAACAGCAGCAAGAAGAAATGATAAACAGATTGACAACACAATTGGAACAGCAGAAAGTTGACATTCAAACACATGAAAAGAGAATCGAAGAGCTCTCTCAAGAACTAAAACAACTTCCTAAAAAGTACACGCGTAAGTAATATATCGGAAAAAGAAGACAAGATTTTATTAAAGAAATAACTGAATGTAGTTGTCGTCACATGTAGATTAGTAAAATTTATTTATCTGAAGCTATTAAGCTTTGTCGAACACGTTCTTGTATGAATTATTGAGTGATCTTTTAGTCTTCTTATCGGTCAAAGTCAATCAATAATTGTTACAACGGATTGCTTTCTGAGAAATAAAATTTGAGTAATTATTCAAACATATATTTGATGAGATCTACTGGAATTCTTTTAGAAAATTATGATTTGCCCAAGTAATCTGAAAAATGTCTAAAGAGTTTCATTATTTGAATTTTGTTAAGAAGAAACTTCCGTGGAGCTTTTCCACTCGTTAGGGATGTACTGAGCTCGAGACGAAATCGAGACTCTCGGGCTCGGGCTCGGTGAGTCTCGGTCTTCGTCGGAGCCTGGTCTTGTGTGGGTGTGGGTGTGGGTGTGGGTGTGGATGTGAGGGTTAGATAAGAACAACAGCCACCCACATCCACACCTGCAACCGCAGCCACACGCACATCCACATTCACACCTTCTTCCTGATCACAAAACAAATTCTGATTACTAGTTATGTTTAGAAATAGAGTCAATGATAATTTTTTGTTTTAGGTAAAGGGTTTTACAGGTAGAGGCTAAAAGAAATTTGGCTGATGAATATTATTAAGAATGAAACTGAGATGGAAACTGGTCGAGTCTGAATCTTGACCGAGACTGAGGCTGACCGAGTCCGAGCCCTGGCCGGGACTGAGACTGATTGAGAGGCTCGGGCTCGGTACATCCCTACCACTATTACTTTTACTTACAAGAATTAATTTTATTTTTTGCACCTTTCAACGATTTGTATTTGTATCAGATATATCCACAATTGTTCTATTCATACTTATAGGTCGGGTACACTATTAGAATTTTTTTAGCATGTAACAATTGAAGTAAAGTTTAAGATTAGTATACAGAAAGTTAATTTACACTCTTTCGACTGATTAATACGTCATATGAAATAAAACGTGTTTGTTTGTTTATGTGTTTATTTGTGGTAAGCATCAATGATCTACTGTGAAAAGAAAAGCAAGTGTGAGTGTGAGAGTCCACACGAATAGAATGTTCACATGCACAACTTTATGTATTCTCTAGAAGATACGATCATAGTTCAGTAGTAATTTTGAATGTATTTATTTGAGAAAAAAAGTAGAAGAATAAATAAGAGAGATCCTACGGTACACTAGCTGGTAACAGTTATCTGTTCTATCTTTGGTATATGTTGAACAAAGAATTCAAATGAATATAACGCCTTGAGGATAGGTCTAATTATGATCTGGATGAGTGGTAAATCAGCATTAATAGTGACATCTATATTTATACCTATACCTTCTTAATGACTTATGAGACTCTGACTTGATAATACTTATTTTCTTTCATTCATTTATAACATAATCAGAAAGTCAAAGCAAGAGAAAGGATATTATGTTTGTGTCAACATAATAAAAAGTGCCCACTGTCAGCCATATGATATTAAACAAAAAAAAGATAAAGTTTTCGATATTGAGATGGACACTGACTATGCTTTTTTATCGTACGCGCTGCTTCTTTACGATATTCACCATCTGAGTTCATATCTAGTTTTCGAGCAAACGATTTCAAGTATGAATATGAACATCTTGCTATTGGAAATTTAAATCTAGTATTGATATAATTCAACCATTCGCATATGAATATTTGCAACTTACGAGTTAGAACAAATAGTTTAAGAAATCTTTGCGTACGAAGAAGCTTTAATATCATCTCTTCAAAAAGCCTAATAAGACTGTTCCAGTTTTAGATAAGAGTTTCTATCACACTGCCTCTATTGTGTGATTATGTTTGAAGAATAATAGGTCTAAATACCAACAGGAGTCTGAAGTAAACATGGCACGCTCATATTCTTATAAAAACGGGCAAATTCTCTTACTTATAAGTTTTGCAACAATTAATCTGTTTGATAAGTCGAGAAAATCTCTCTAACTACGTATACTTCCATTATTATTAACAATTCTACGAAATAAAAAATAAAATTGTCAAGATCATCGTTGAAATTACTAACTACTTTATTTTTCCATTTAGAAAAACAATTCGCTACTCCTGGTACCTATACGGAGCTTTCTAAGTTCTGTGCATTTATTCTCGGTTCGTTTGTTATCACAATATCTTACAGCTTTGACTATAAGCAAAGAAATATAAATGAACAGAACTTTTGTTCTGAATATTCATCTATACAATACCTTTTTAGTAATTAATTGTAACGAAACGTTTACTTATGTAAGAAGGGTTATATGAACAAGATATTAAAGGGCGTTATAAGCATTTTGATACTATGAGAAGTATAATTTATATAAACAGTTGATATCTTGCACCGAAAAACTAAGATAGATGTACACCGTTGTGCTTCCTAATATTCGACTATTCTAAAATTTAGGTTATTACAAGAATGCGAGCCATTTGTTTCGAATCGCACGATATTTTTGAATTACACTGTTGTGCGAGTTGTGGTAAATGTCGTTATAATCAATCATTTTTTATATCATCTGGAGTCCATAATTAAATGATAGCCCTTCAATCTGAAGAAAAGCCACATAAACGAATAGATTACTGACTGGTAAATTATTATTCATATGCCACGCAATCTACAATAAACGAATGGCAACAAACTCAATATTTCTGAAATGTATAAAAACTAGAATATAATCACTTTTAAAAGCGTTCATTTGTGGTACGATCACTGTTGACTTATTGAATCAAAGCATCAACTATAACATGAGCGAAATATACCCAATGCATCTACTGGTGATAATAATCAGTCATTTGATCGATGATTTTTAGCCAGTTTATCTTTCCTTTGAGTTTGTTATGTTATGTATCAAGTAGATGAACACACTCATCCGGCAACATGGAAATGGCTGATAGCAATTCGTTTATGATAGAATTATTGGACATCATTCTCGACTGATAACTACGCATTGTACTACATAAAATAGTAGTATATGATAGCCAAGGTAAGAATGGTTCTGCTATCATATAATCTTTGATTACTGTGATCGTCAAAAATCATAAATTCAAAGTGAGTGCGAGAAACGAAAAACGACATCTAAAGAATCATTATTGATCATTCAGCGTATCATTTTTTAGTAGTACATCATCATCGATCATGTGAATTGTAGCTTGAGATATTCTGGAATATAATATTCTGCATTGGAACAATTGGAAAGCAGATGATCGGCAGCGTTAAACAATTCCAAGAAGCTATCACCTTCCACGATTGTATCGATTTCGCAGAAACACTTTTGCTTGGACCCTAATATTTGAACAAAGTCATTGCGACATTGATAGTTATAAACTAGGAGGTTATTTTTGTGAGAAACGATAAACACATTTTACTAAAAAGTATATAAGATACATGAACAAAGATAGAATATGACTGATACATTCGACATCCGACCATTGTTCAATAACAAACGCATGTTTTCTTACTTTTCCTACCAAAATAATAAATAAACATCATATTGATAGGAATATTCCTGTGATTTGCAGTTCTTTACTATCTACGAGTATATCAGTTTTCAGTTAAACGCTGCAATATTCCAAAACAATACTTGCGTATTCAAAACCATACATTCACCTCAATCCTTTCTTCTTCATAAACTAAACATACACAACAAACTCGACAATACCATAGTTGAATATGAGTGTTGGCAACAATTCACGGCTTCACATCAGTCACTGTTCATCTCATATTGATAAAGCCAGTTCCATACAGCAACTTACAATACTACCGATGAAATAAGCAAACCGACCCTTCGTTCAAACTGTTCATTTACTATGCAATCATTCGTTAGTGTAACATTCTGTAACATCTGTTTCCGATTATCCTAATAAGAAGACACGATACTGATTACAATCGTCCATCTATTATGTGGGGCGTGATCATAACATCGCACTAAACAATCTATTTCCACTTACCCATCTTGCTTGCACCATTACCTGGAAAAACATGTTACCTTTCACCTTCAATCCTGTGATATTGTAAGAGACAATTCAATGCGAACATTTACTTCGAAGTCTAGACAGTAACTGAACAGCAGTATCTTAAGTAGTGTTGATCACTGATATGATCTTATATGAGATGATTAAGTACGAACCTTGCCTTCGTAGTGTAGACAACAACTGAACACCAGTATCCTTAGTAGTGTTGATCAATGATGTG